AAGGACGTAGACTCCTCCACCTTTCTCTCCTGGCCACTCACAGAGTAATTGACTGGTCCATTTTGTGTATGAAATATGGTTGTGGTGATTGTGTGTGGAAGAGTGTTGAGAGGGACTTCAGATTCAGGATGCCTCTATCTCTAGCCATGAGCATTAAATAATGCCTGCCTCTTGAACCACCAGTATTAAATAACTGAAGATAATACCTTTTTTATCTGAGTTCATGCTAGGAAAGAAATTATCTAGGACAAGCATTTAAAGGCAGTATATGACTAAGTAGTTTCCCTGACTAACAGCTTTTTTCCAAAATGGAGACAGAAGGGAAATGGATTATTGAGCTAAAAAGTCTTTCTGCTCCTTCAAGGAGAGCTAGTGCTGCAGCTGAAGATGGACACGTCTATCAGTGTTGTTTACCTTTCATTTTACTGGTGTGCCAACATTAGCTGTGTTTGCCTTTGGATGGGCATTGAGTGTCTAAGTTAATCCCAAGTTTGAATCCCATGATCTCTTACACCATTTAGGCCTGAATAATATTCAGGCATTGTCAGATAAGTTTGGCTTCTCTGGCAACCTTCCAGGAACAGGCACCTTGATTATTATTGCTGTGGAACTCTGCTGGCCCAGCTGCCTTGCATTTCAAGTTACTGGCTTGTGTGTGCTGAGACTGGTGTCTCAAGGGTTTTAACTGCTGTGTACCATTCTTACTGTCCCCCGTGATTTGCATGTTATGGCTCATATGCAGAGCAAGTGATGCACAGATGTGATAGAAGGAATTTCCAGACCATTACTACTTTACTGATAGATGAGTGCAAGAGATATATACCATCTCCCTTGAGGGGGAAAATAGCAAAATCAATATGCATATCTCCTCCTGGAGTTTCTTTATTCCTTTCAATGGCCTTTCCAGAAGCCCAGTATGTTCTGTTTACCTAATACTGTTTTTAACTTTGCTGGAAAGCAAATGCTTTCTTAAATAGCAGTTTACAACTTGTCTCTTCCCCTACTTTCTGTGTTTTGCAGTTCTATGTGGAATACAGATGTCCATGCATTCCAGTAATTACTGCATTTAAGAATAATTAGGGTTTAGCCAGTAACCTTCATTGCTTTAATAGCATAGGTTTTAATCAGTCATTGGTGGTTTTCAATGACTCTTCCATCTGGGACCAGACTCATAGGTTCTGACTTTCTTCATGCTACTCAAAGAGATTGAAGCAATAAAGAGTAACTGTATGCAGATGAAGATACTATTTAAGGTAGATTTATAAGGTGTTTATAAAATGGACTGGAACTGATTAGTTCACAAACCAATAAGTAAGTAGGTTGCTGTTGAATTTCTAGAACTGTGTTCTCTAAAACAAGAGAGCTACCAATGAACTGTGTGAAAGGTGTGCAAGATGCCTGCCTGAGAGGGGACAGTGCAACAGTTGGAGCCCACAGAAATTTTTTAGCTTGCCAAACTTGTTTGTTGTTTTCTAAAAACAAACGGGTCCATTGCAAACACTGTTTTTAAAAATACAGTCTGTGGCTGTAAAACAAAATGAAGAATTAAGTCCACTCAACATACAGAGGCAAGTAGGAATTGGGCACACTGGACACATTGCCAGTCCCAAAGTCCCTACATGGCCTGGTGGTAAACCTTTTCCAAGGGTCCTTGTGGCTGGCTCTCTTGTGTCATGTGGCCTAGCCAGCATCTTTCCCTGCTCCCCTAATAGATTTGGTCTTCAGTGCTGAATATGCTCATAGTGTTAGATTACAGTGTATGATAAATATCCTTTTTTTGACTGCTGTATGAGTCATCTCTCCACAGCTGTAGTCTATCAATTTATAAAGCATTGGCAACCAGCTGCACCCTCATGATGGAGCCTCCCTTGGAGTCAGTAGCTCACTCTGGGCACAGCAGCATCCTGGTGTGGTGTAACTTGCAGGTCAGGTTTTGTGATGACCATAAGGGTATGATGTTATAATTTGAACAAGATCATGAAATGGAGGGAAAGCGTGAAGATGGGGTAAAAGAAGTCTAGCTGCTGATGCTAAAGGGAAAACAAGAAAGAAGGTGTATGTGTGGGAATGAATGGAAGAGTTGGAGCTGCAACCTTCTGCTCCTTAGATATGTGTTGGGACTGCTTACGTGCATCTGTTTCTTTCTTGTAAGGGTACTTAATAATGAAGAGGAAACTAAAGAGCCTTTTAACTTTATGGCAGTTCTCCATAGAATTGCAGAACCTCCCTAGGAAGGAAAAAATTACTTAGAGATTTGTCTTTATAATGTCATGTTTTTGACTCGGCCATTTTGGGTTGCTTTCACTGTTGTAGTGCTATTGGAATTGGCTGTGTTATGGCATTTAGAAGTTACAGGACACAGCAGCAGTCCTTGTATGAGGAATAGACTTGAGAAAAGAAAGTGAATATAAAGGTAAAAGTAGGAATGAAAGGGCCCACAGAAAGATACAGTGCAGAAGATGTAACTTCTCCTTCAGATCAGTGGCTGAGAGGAACTTGTCTGGGAGTTGTTAAACGAGTTGTAGTTCACCAGATAAAGATGCCACTGCTGTCCTCTGAAGAACAAACACTTCTGTTTTAGAGACAGAAAGTGGCTTCTGAAGCCCATTGTACTGGGGATTGTATGGCTTTTTAAAAAGTTTTTAAAAGTGTATAGGAGTTGTAAAATCCATCTGATAAACTTCAGTTGTTTGATTGTATGGGGGTTATACCAAGAATTCTTTTTTTGAGAAAGGCCTTTACAAAAGTGTTGGATATTAAGAGCATAGAATGTTTTGGGGATTAAAAGGGAGATCTCTTTAGAACTGCTTCTGCGGCCTTATTTTCTCATTCTTGCAGCACTGTGAAATGGTGCTGTGTTAACTTCAATTCTGACAAAAATATTTGTTTCCAAACTTACACTGCTCAAAACTCCAACTATGGAACTTTATTTACTGGAAATGATTTTAATATTGAGGAGGGGTACTGAGAAAGAAACAAAGATCTATTATATAAAAGTGTCAGGTATATTTTTTTTCACTAAGTTCAGTAGATGGAGTTCTAATAAATGAAAACTTTTTTTTTGGGGGGGGGAGTTTGTTGTTTTGTTTTGGGGTTGTTTGTTTGGTTTTTGTGTGTGTGGTGACACAACTAATTTCCTGAAAACTGAAAAAAATGTTCCAAAAGAATTAAAAACTCTTAGAATATACCATGAACCAAAAAGAAGCAGTGTCCCAGTGTCAGTATAGCAAAACACGAATAATTGAGCACATTATGAACTTTTATAGTTAACACTTTGTATTTTGTTAGAGTTATTGTTCCTGTGAAGGAGATGGAAATCCAAGGCAATCTACTGTCCTTGCCCTGCCCCATGAATGCATACTTGAGCTTTCTAGTTGTGGTGGTTTGAAACTCCCAAGAATCTAATTTTTAAGTTCAAGCCCCCCTCCCACAGTTTGCCCCTGTGAGAGGGTTTAGTGATGGTATGGACTTGACACCTGTTTTACTCCATGTGGAGAGTTTTCAGACAAAACACAACCATTCATTATTGGGGGAAGGGAAAAATATTTACAAAGGTTTATTTACACCCACATATATATTTACATTAAATCAAATTTCTCCCCTTCTTCAATAAAAGTCCGAGAAGAAAAGAGAAAAGTCTTTCTATCACTTCTCAGGCCACAGTTTCTTCATTTCAGTTTTTTTGGCACTAGTTAGTGTCCTTCATTTTCCTGAGGCAGCAGATTTACCTATGGCAGTCAGGATTTTTATTCTTACTTTGTGGATATTTCAACCCCAAGCCCGAGCCTTCGGGGGATTTCCTTGTGGATCTTCACTCCTCTTGGGTTAGAACATTGAAGGCAGCTTTCAGTTCAGGCTTACCAAAGCTCTTTTGCTCTGTCTCAGCTCAGTAGCATGATAGAAACGGCAACAGCAGCAGCAGAGGGCACGGCCACCTCCTCTGCATTCCATCCTGGCTCAGCTCTCAGGACAACTCTGGGTTTTTTAGCTCCTTTCACCCTCTCTCTAGCTGCTGCTGCATTTTGGGACTCCCTAAGGGTTTGGAAGTCCACCCCTCCTCTTCAGAGAGTCTCTGATTTTTTGGAAAATAATACAGTCTTACCCCAAACCAGCTCTGTTGAGTTTACCTCTGTTTTGTTGTGAGCTCTCCCTCCTGCAGGAACATCTCTGCATCTTTCAACCAGCTTCACGTTATCTCGTTGCTACTGGCTATCTTTTGGCCTTTAGCCATTGCTGTCTCTGTTCAGGACTGCTCCACTGCTGCTTTCAGTGTCTTCTGCTGCTGCTGACAGTAAGGGAACTTTTACAGCTCTTGATTACGGGACCCGGTCCAGCTTTGACACTATACCGGGTCTCCCGTAGCCTCAGCTGGGGCCTGGGGGCCCTTGGCCCCCAGAGGGGCTCACTGCCCTCCTGCCTCCTCGTGGCTCAGGTCATGGCTACCTACCTACTACACTGTCTTCACCACCTTCTCTTCTGTTTCTGTGGGCATGTAATTTCCGTAGGGCGCACGTGGACTATTGATTGGTCCAGTATTATCAGTGGGGCAAACCATTACTACCTCAGAGAAAAGGTTTTTCAAACCACCACACTAGTTATTTATATGTCTATAGCCAAAATATATTTTTTAGTGGTATTGATAAACTGGTAATACTGTGTAGAATTAGAGCTTCTGCACAAGGTTTTAGAGCCACCGAAAAGAAACTACGTCTTTCTTTCTTAAAAAAAGTGTGGGGTGTCACCTATGTGACCTTGTTTGCTTTTCCCCTATTACTTACAGCACTCACATACTAGGAATAGAAAGTACAGTGTTTGGAGTGCACAAGAGAGTGGAAATCACAATAAACAGCAGCATCTTGTGTTTTTTTGTTTTGTTTTTAATGTTTCAGTTGACCTTCATATCCGCTGCCTAGATTTTGCTCAGCTTCAACACATTACCTGGTATCCTCATTGTCCTTCTGCATCTCTTACTCATCTTCATCCTCTTCCCTGGCAACCCCATGAGGTTCAATGCTAAAGATCTGGCTTTGCTGGCCAGGCAACCATCAGGTTGTTTTGACAAGGAAGGAAAACTGAAGATTTGCAGAGTGGTTGGGGATGAAAAATTAATAGGTAACAATGACTTGTGCTGAAATATCTCATGGTTGACGTGCATGTTTTCTGCAGCTGTTGGCTTAGTTACACTAATCACATATACCTGTTTTTAGTTTTCTTCATTACTGATGCTTGAGTGGTGCTGAATACCTTTCTAAATAATGAAGCTTAAATTTAGTTCTTTAATTTGCTCAAGTTTTCAAGTTCCCTTCGACATGTGCCTGGGAAACAGTAAACAGTTTAACATTATTATTCTTTTCCTGTAAACAAAGATTGGGTTTTTTTCTGCTAGTGATTGCTAGTCACCAGTCACTAGTTGCCACGTTTTAAAAGATTAGCTATCCAGTTCCTCAGAACTTACCCCTTCCACCTCTGAAAGCTGTGTTCTTTTATCATTATAGATTTTCCATGGCTCACTTCCCACCTCCTTTGCAGGTTTCTTCAGGCTTTTATGATCATATTTTAAATGTCTTTCAATTTCCAGTAAGCTTGAACAAGTGTCTGTTCCCTCAGTAGCTGTTAGAAAATAGCTTATGCTTAGCTGTAAAATCGGTCCTAACACAATAACTTCAGCAACAGCAAATGTTTTATTTTCACTTGTCCCAGTTGATCTTCATTGTGATTGTGTTTACTTTTATTTTATTAGAAAAAAATCCAAACAAAGCCAAACCCACCACAGACTCAATTATGGTAAGAGGCTGAGCAAATTCTCTGCCACATTTTCAGAAAATTTCGTACATGCCCTGGTGAAACCACAATATACATTTCCTTATGATAAATAGCAGAGTTTCCTGTGGATGGTGCAGCAAACTTCCTGGACAAGGGGCTTTCGGGAGCATCCTCATCTGTCTGCTTTGGGGTTTCTCAACAGGATTATCACCCTGTGTACTCATTGGAGGCAGCATATCAAACCCTGCCCAGTGAATATCTGCTGTTTATGAGGATGTTTTGAATTTTTTTTATGTCGAGTGATAATATTGCTAATACTGCTAAAAACCTTACATTAACTGGAGAGAGACCAAATTTTTATGTAGCTCAGTATCACAGGTTATCTGTGCTATGATCAGATTGCAGATTCTAGCAAAGTGTTTAAGACTCTATGCATGTGTAAGATGTTCCTGTTGCCCAGTAAATCCTTCTGGCTCCCAGCAATCATATGATGATCTTGTGGGAAGAAGGGTCATTTCTGTCCAGGCATGCTGGCCACTGTGTATCCTACCCACTGACAGACTTGTCATCGTTAGTCTGACTAATCTTTGAACTTGCTTATTTTTCACACTTACAAGGTAGTGACTTTCCCAAGCATATAGAAAAATATCTTGTTATCAGAAAAAGCTGCAGTGTCAATGTGATAGTTTTCCTTCCTTCTGATGCCCACAGGGTTCTGGGGGATGGAATTTAGTCTTAGCAGACTCTTGTACTGTAAAGCAACATACTTGGATCTGATAACTGTGTTTAGATTTTTAGTTGGTAGATGTGCATCAATTTATATTATTTTCTTTTCTGTATTGTCTGTGCACTTTAGTAGGTCTGAAAAGATCCAAGAACTTCAATTCCTTTTCAAAAATAACCCCAAAAAACCCAGGTTGTCACTTAACACAGTTATTCTATGAGTCCCAGTGCCTCTGACTGACTGTAAACCTTCCACTTTCTTGTGGGGAAAAAGCTACTCTGATTTTCAAATGTTGCTTATTAAAACATCCTAATTGAAATTATGATGAGGAAAAGAGAATTTTATTTATTTATTGACTGTACCAAGGTGTTCTCCTGCTCAATATAATGTTTTTAGTGGTGACCAGCTTTGAGGGAAGTACAAGAGTTCTGCAGAGGCAACATGTAGAATAACGTGGCCTTAGGGTACAGCTGTTCTTCCAGCTCCCCATCAGTTCGAGGTTGGCAGCTGCCTGGAGATACGCCCTCTCCAAAATATAAAAGAGTACATCTTGTGTAAAAAATGTTTCTTCCTCTTTTAAGAAATGATCTCTGAAGACACCACATTTGTCCATAAGATCTATATCTGTATATGTTTATAATAGGTTTAGGTATCCGTAAGTACCTACAGATACACATACAAGCATATTTAAAGAAACTGTTGTTTAAAAAATCACTTGGCTATGGAAGAATAACTTTTTCAAGTTTTTTGACCCACTCACTGACCCTAAAGTTCTGAAACATTCCCTGTTCTCAAAAGTTTGATTACATGCCTGCATGTGTTATGTACACAAAAATACATTGCTATTCCAACTGGTTAAGCCCTTTTAAAAAGTGTAGTAGAATAGTAATACCCAAGTAAATATTTAGGTCTCATTTTACTCACTTTTTTTTACCTTCTGAAAATTGTGAATTCAGATTAGCATGTTCTAATCTGAGTGGAATAGCCAATGTTTTTGTGTCTTAACGTGGATTATGTTTGATCTCCTGAAATGATGGAAGCAAAAGCTGTTCCCTGCTAAAGTGCCTGTTTCTGCTCCCGTGTGAGGAGAAGGGAGAAAAGCTGAGCACACACCGTTGAGTGTGTGCTGCAGTCACCAATACTCTCGGCTGCAGAGTAGAAGAAACCTGGGAAGTTATTTGGCATTTAACAGCATGTTGTACATAGGCAGCCACTGAGTGAAGCTGACTTTTTTTTGGTTGTTAATGATTTTCTTTTCTGACCTTTATAACTAATGCATCTTCTTTGAGAAGCATTTAATGTGTGAAGACAAAGGGTTGTTTTTATTAATCTCTTACTTCTTTGCATACAGAACCGAGGGAGAGATGGTGCCGACTGAAAGGAAATCTGCTTTTTCTAATGAAAAATAAGGTAATTCTTTTTCCTACTGCTTTTCTTGATGTGCTAGTCTAATATGTGAGAACTTGAGTAATCCTTTTTCATGATAGCTACATTGGCATTGTGCTTTTAGGGACAAAAAATATAAATCGCTATTATTAGAAGAGTGAAGATGAAAAAAAATCTGTTGTTTGCTGTTTGTAACACTGGGTATTTTTCATGATATCAACATCCTTTTGCTGAATCATAAATAGTCTATGGCAAGGGTCTGCTCATAACATACATGGGTCTAAATCCAGAATTACTGCACCAAATCCACTGGAATAACGAAAGCAAAACCTCACAGCTAAATAAGATATTGTAACAATGCTCAAGATGCAATTTCAGACCCCTACTACAATTTTTTAGTGTGGTTTTATAACTAAATTTGTTATAAAGAATGGTATTATTTTCTCTTGCTGTGCTGTAAAAAGCATTTATATGCCTGACACGAAGGGCCTGTTAAAATAGGGTCTGACCCTGACATGCTGGAGCTGCTGAGTGCCCTCATTTGTCATTGGCTTTATTAGGAGTTGAGGCCACTCATCCTCTGGAATGAACAAGCACTAAGTGTGGAATTGCTGTTTTTCTTACTCTTTCTGTCTGATATTATGGACTTGCTCCTGTAGTTGCCTGAAAGTAGCACTGGATTGTAAAGAATTAGGAAATAGGATGCGGCTTGAGACGCTTACCTGTTCACAGCAAGTATTTTATAACTGACTTCCAGATTATTTTTATACTGTGTGGACCAGCAGTTGGATGGAAACAATTGTACTGCTTGGTAGATTGTATATTTTGTTTGAAAGATTTTTCAGTGTGATATAGCGGCTTATTTTATTACAGAGATGAATGTGCACATATGGTACACTTCTGAAACAGTATTTGCTTTCAAAGCACTGTTCAGGAGCATGTGAGAGACTTCTATATGTGTGCAAACAAAATGAGATGGTGTGACGTAAAAGTTTCTCTGACTTGAGTTTCATACAGCTGCATTCTCCTGGGTGGTAAACGGTCTGACAAGTTTATGGAGGTGACAGCAAGTTCATGGCCACCCCTTTGTCACACCCTTGTACATTAACATTCTTCTCTATGACTTGCAGAAACTATTTTTAGTAAAGGGCTTTAAATTTCTAAATGCTCCGAGTTCCTCCAAGTGTCCTATTTTCACGGGAGCCTTGGCATTTTGTAAAACAGTTTAAGGAAATATTTTGATCAACTTTGCAACTGTGAAGAGAGGAGGAGGAGGAGATCAAGTGTAGCTTTCGGTTTGGCTCTGCAAACTTGGAGAATTAATGTTACTATACTATACTATAAAGTTTAGTGAGCATTGGTACTCAGTTTCATGTGCTATATGGTGTTTTTTTTTTTTAATCTTTCTTTTTTTAATGTGAGGGTGAAGTACAGATGGATGGAATGAGACTGTATCAGTTGGACCAGCAAATGAACTAACACTCCAGGGCCACTCAGGCTGTTCAAATGGAAAGCTGTATTTTGAGAAACTTGGAGAGTGAGACACCAATTAATGACTTGTTACAGAAATTATTTAGGCTTGCAGTAAATAAATGGGAATTCCCCTTGAAATGTTATAGTTTGACTGAACTGATTAAATAGATGGGTGATTTTCACTCTACATTTAGGTCAGTGCTAGAAAACTGCGTCTTATTCTGGTTTCCTCGTTTAAAGAGGTTTTCAAAATTTGCACAAGTTATGGAAGGAACCAGGAGATTTGACAAATTTTAGCTTATCAAAGAAGACTGGTGACACGATTAATGTCAGTGTTTTCAAAAGGTGATTTTATTAGGTACTTTCTTTAATTAGGGAGATCACAGTAAGAGAGAGACTTGGAAATGGAAGTCAGACAAATGCATATGATCACAGAATCATTGGCCAGTGAAGCCCAAGTGTGGTGAGATATAGTGGGTGCTTAGTTTTAAAATGTCAAAACCTCCTAGGCTCAGTACAGAGACCACTGAGTGATTAAAGGGCAATGTCTTACAATGAATCAAACTAAATGATGTAGCGCTTCCTAGTCAGCTTATATCCTAGGAATTTGTAAAATGGTCATTTTCAGAGGCTTCATCTGTTGGGTATTATAAAGGATGGCTTCTTTGACAAAGACAGATCTGTCTTGAATCTCATATCCATGTTTCAAAAGATGCAATTTATAGGCATACTAAGTAAAACCACAGCAATTTGTGTGCTGTGAGGACAGAAGGCAGTGTACCCTGTACTTTTTTTTCCTTTTTTTTTTTTCTTTCCTTATTCTGGAAATGAACAGGTTTCCCACCTGAAGCAGATTCTTGACATGGAAATCACCTATGTTTAAATTTTTGGAGCTAGGTTGCCAGTATAATAACAAAAAATAGTCTTATGATGAAAGTTATTAGGCACCTTAATAAGAATAGTTGCCAATTTTCTGCTCTTTCCTTGACTTAGCAAGGCTACTAATGAGGTGTGTGAAAGATGTGCCCCAAACAGCGCTGAGGAAACCATGTTCCTATTTTTGTTGCTGAAATCTGGCTTGGCTTATGGCTTGACATGGAAGAAAAGTAATTTTGATGTTTCGGAAACTCATCGGAATGCTGAACAATTAACTCTACAAGTCACTGTCATGAAGCAAAGACTGATTTGCTGCTATTCATTAACTGCTGTCAGAGCCACGTGCATGTCTGCATGTACAAATGCTTAATGGCAGACTCTCATTCTGGTTCAAATGCACATAAATTATGCTACTTGTATGAGAGGAATCTTCTCTATGAAACTGCAAAGGATGCTTCCCGACTTATCTGCGCTGTAAATCCCAAGTAGCATGGCAGTAAATTTTCAGTTCAGGGAGAAAATGTGGTTTATTCTTCCGCTTTTTCATATATGCATGCAGCAGAATGACCTATTAGGCATCTTAAGGACATTTATTTTCCTTGGTCTAGCAGTGGACTTGGTTATTTTGGACTTGGAGTGGACTAAGTAGACCTATTTGTAGGCCTGAGGTACAATCAGCATTTGATAGTGAAACTTTTTCCCTTTGCAGACTTTGGTGTGGTATTTTGAGGTGTGGGTAGGTAGGCAGTTTTGTTGTTGTTTGCTGTTTCCCCCTCTCCCCAGATTGGTTCCCTACCATATTATACTGATTGTAGATGGCAGAGTAATAGTAGTGAGAAGTCTGCAGGAGTGACCTCTGTTAGAAAAGGTCAGGGGCTCTGCATCAGACCCATCATGGGGCACAGCTGTGCCCATCAGCACAGCAAGTGGTGCCTCTGGGAAGATGTATTTAAGAAAGGGCAAAATGCTGCCTGGGAAATGTGAGAAACAGCCCCAAAGTTGGAGAAGGATCTGCCCCAGGTGCAGGAGCAGATATTCCCCTGCAGCCTGTGGGGAAGACCGTGCTGGGGCACTGGGATGTGCTGTGAATGATCTGCAGCCCATGGCCAGCCCACCTTGGAGCAGGTTCTTCTGAAGGCAACTGTAGCCCACAGAGAGAACCCATGCTGGAGCAGGTATTTGATGTCTGTAGCCCATGGGAGGGACTCCATGCTGGAGCAGGGGAAAAGCATGAGGGGGAAGGGGTGTAAGAGAGGAACCATTCCCTGTCTTCCCTGTGCCACTGGGGAGGTGTGGAAGAGGAGGTAGAGGAGTTGAGAATGAATGAGCGAAGTTGTGCCTTGGGAATGAAAAAGGTTGGAGGAAGCTGCTTTAGTTCTTGTCTTTGTTTCTTACTACCCAAATCTGTTTTAGTTTGTAGTAGGCTAAATTAATTTTCCCTGGGTTGAACCTGTTTTGCCTGTGATGGTTGTTGGCAAGTGATCTCCCTGCCTTCATCTTGACCCACAAGCATTAAAATTTTATTTTCTCCCCCAGTCCTGTTCAGAAGGGGAGTGATAGAGGAGATGGGTGGGTGTTAGCCTGACAAGGTCAATCAGCCACAGATACAATCCCCTGTGGGAGCTGTACATTGCTAATACCTTCCTGTGTGAAGTCCTCAGACCACACAAAGCGTGTAGGCTTTGTGTCCACTGCCCAGGAAGCGGGAGATGTGTGCATTTGCATCCTATGAACACGGTCAGTATATGTTGCTTTTGAAGGCAGAACTGGAAACTGGGCTCCCTAAAGCCGTGGCTGGCAGTGTGACTGGGCTGGGGAACCTGGGGTGTGACAGGGCCTTTGGAAAAAAGTTTGACGTTGTACTTGCTAATCGTGGAGCAATTCTTACGCATCCTAGTCCAAAATAGGATTTTGGAACTAGACAATGTTATGTGCCTCACTTAAATTATTTGCTCTGCGGGTTTCCTTATTTACTTAGATTCTACCCAATTCCAGCCTGGTAGGTGCTTCCTCCCAGAACTCATTTTGAGTGGGAAACAGGGAGAAAGATTGCTCAGCAACAGTTGCTAATGTGTGTAATAAGTATTAGGTACTTATGTGCCTTTTTTCATTAGCATAGGAGGGCACTTTGGATTAGAAGTTTTGGATCTCTTTGAGGATTGCAATATTGTCTAATTGTTTTTGTTTTAATTACAGGTCAGAATTTATAGCAATCATTTTTTTGAAAAACCAAAATCAACAAAAAACAACCCGAAACAAGAGAACAGTGCATATTTTTGTCATGTTATGTCGTTTCCTTGTTGTTTACTGTTCATAGGTCCTTCAGAATAATTTTTCTTTCCAGTAAAGAAATAAACATATTACTTTGACCTTTCACAGTCTGTTTTAATCCTCATGCCCATTCAAGGCTGGATTTCAGCCTAAACCGTTGTTTACCATATATGGGTGAATTCAGAGTGATTGCTACTGATGTAAAGAAAGAAGCTATCTAACCCATCTATGGTTCATTTTCCCTAATGTTTAAACTAATATTCCCAAATAGTAGTGCTGATACTTAACCAGATTTGTAAATTACTTTGCAGTCTACACACAAAAAGATACACTAAAAAGTACAATTATGCTTTTGCATTTCAGTAATAGCTCCAGAGGGCCCATTATGTTCTCCTGAGTAAACA